AGGATGAACCCCTCTGTTGTGGCAGCCCACAAGAGGATTGGACTTCTCCAAAAGTTCAACAAATGGCAAGGGAAAGCCATTGAGAAGATGCAAAAGTCCATGGACAAGATGGTGAGCAAGATCAAGAGTTTGGAGAAGAAAGTTTCTGGTTCTTCAAACAAGAAGAAGAAGGCAGCCACAGCCCCTACTTTCCTTAGGAGTAGATCACTCCTCACCACCCCAAGGAGACCCCCAGCCCAAGAGCCTCACAGAGCCTCTTCATTGGAGCCAAGGGAAGGGGAAGACAACTCACAGAGAAGGAGGAAGAGCTCTAAGGTCAGACGCTCTAGCTCGACCACCGGACTTGATTGAGTCCAAACAGAGGAAACTCAACTCGATCGAGCTGAGGGTCGAGTTGGCCTGGAGGAGCCCCTATATGAGGACCCCGGATTCGAGTACGATCCAACGCCCTACCAAGACTTCTCTCAGACTCTCTGGACTCCCTACAACCGCTTCGAGCAAGCGCAGCTCCTCCAAGGCCAAGGGAGCCACACACACTTCGATGAAGAAGAGGAAGAAGAGGAGCAGCAAGCTCGATCGAGTGAGCCGAACCCAGTCGAGTGGAGTGCTCCTGACGGCCGTCTACCATCTCCAGACCACGACCTTGCCTCCCGGTTCTTTGGGGGGCACTGAGGTATCCAAACACCAACCCTTGTACATACTACATTTTTAGATTTTTGTCCAAAAGAGAGAGATTTTTAGATTAAGAACATCAAGCAACAAAGATTAAGCATAGAAATCCTCTAGTCTAGCTTAAACCCTAAAGAAGACTACTCACTACACAATGCGAAATACATGATGAAATGCAATGAAAGAGACATTGAAAGATAGATGAGATGAAGATAAGCAACTTTTATTGAAATAGGCAAGTGCAAATACAAAAGGATAAGGCCTAGATCTAAGGTTCAAAAGCAAGAGCTCAAGAACACAAAGAGAGGATAAGGTTTTTGCAAAAAGTAAATTACAAAATTAAAGATAAAGCAAAGCAAAATTAAGCTAAAAAGTTCTTGTCTTTTTCGTGGCCACAAGCCTTTAAATAGAAGAAGGATTAGGTTTAGGGTCAAAGGGGAGTCAAAGGGAAGCAACATTTTTTTGGGTTTGACCATTGACTCCGCAGCTCGATCGAGTTGTTCTTGTCCGGTCGAGTTGACGAACTCGACCGGTTGGTCGAGTAGATGGGTCGAGCTGGCTTCAAAGGCGGCTTCATTCTTCATTCCAAGCATGCGCGGTCAAGCTGACTCCATGCACCATTTTCTTCCTTGCTCCTCACGTCCCAATTGCTCCATAGTGCTCCAAAAAGACCTATTTAGGGATCAAACATGCACATGTATGCAAATGCAACCTAAAACTACAATGAATGCATAAGAAGGGAAAAGGAACAGGATATGATGCTAATGGATGCTAAAACTAAGCAAAAGATGCATAAAAGATGTACTAAAACTATACAAAATGCAAGTGCATCAGCTTCTCCTCTTTTATGGCGGCTCTCCTCTTCTCTTGACTCTCTCTTCAGACACACGATGACTCCTTTGCTTCAGCGGCTAAAAGCAAGTATATATGGGCAAAGTCAAGTAGGGTTTTCTTCATGCCGGAAATGGAAAGTTTGATGTGTTCATACTTTGTATGTTTTTAGCACTCGATTGCATATATTTTTGCATTCATAACCATTCATTTGCATTGCTTTTCACTCATCTTCACTCATATTTCGCATTTAGTGTATTTAGGACTAGCACTGTCGCATCTTGTACATTTGTGTCAGTTTTAGGTGTTTTCTGGAGATGTGGAGTGGAGTGATCGAGTGGAGGAGATCGAGTGCAATGATGGAGTAGCAGAGGTCGCGCTGGAGTCAACTGCGAAAGTGATCGAGCTGAAAGAGATCGCGCTGGAGCCCAACCTGAGAGATAGAGTCAGAGTCAAGTGAGGAGGCCCACATTCTGACGGAATCGATCCAGCCCATTAAGTGAACCGACCCAGTGCTTGTTCCGGCCAACTTTTCCCTTTTTATTTTATTTTTCATTTTTCTAAAACACTAGGTTTTTTCGAGAGTATCAAAACCAGAGAGGTGCGCCTCCAACCTAGGATCCATCGTTTTCATTGGAGAAATTGTATTCAGATTTCTTTTGTGTCTCAAGTATTTTTTCGTTCTCGAATCTATCTCTTTGTTGCTCTTGATTATGCAATCTATCTCTGTTGATTTGAATTCCGTCTCATGAGTTCTAGATAGTAGTTACCTTTAAGTTTCTGAGGATGGGATAGATTTGTAACGAATCGTAGCATGATTGAGTTGCTTAAGTTTTGTTTTCCAATCGATCCCTTCTGGATTAGTGATCTTAAAGCCAGATTCTTTCTGATAACTTGGATCTGGATCTTAGACATCTCCACACTCACGAATCCGCTGCGCTTTCAGAAGAATTTCCAATTCACACTGGGTGTGAATACGGTCCTCAAGTTCAACTACGAATGCCTCAGGGGCTTCTGTGAAGAATGCGGGTTGATGACTCACGATACGGGTGAATGTATTCCCAATGATGACGAGGAGGCCTTGCCCCATGATGACAACGACAGGGATGAGGGAGATGATGATGCTAATCATCAAGTGGAGGAAGATCATGTATACATTCCGGATCCCATGATCCAACAACTCCAACAACAGATGCCTGAAGGGCCTATTAATGAAGACGGTGACATCCCGGAGGATTATGTTTGAGGAGAGGAATTTTCCTCTGCGGATGATACATCGCCAATTCCTTTCACGGCTCAGGATCTGATCCCGATTCCAGAGTTAATTGAAGATCAAGTAATGAGGAAAAGACGTTTTGTGGATGCGCTTGTCGAGGACATTAAGCGAGAAGCACGTCTACGATATTTCGCGATCCCATCCAATGGTAACATTCTCTCCAATGATGTTGATGATGATATAATGCTCCCAACAGAATGTCGTTTGGATATTGATGGATCTTTCCAACAATATGGTAGTTTTATGGATTATGATGTTTTGACAGAACTGCGATCTGAGACGACAACAAAGAAGGCACGTGTTAGTGGAGAATCGCAAGAATCTGAGGGATTAGAGGATTTTCATACAGCAGTGGAACCCAACTCTCTGATGAAGCTTCAGACGGACTATCAGGGATCAGGAAACCCTTCACTAAGCCTGAGTGACAGAGCCGCGGTGGGGATGGTACCACCACCGGTTCCATGAAAGTTGAGGTGTGGAACTGTCGAGGCTTGGGACAGCGCCTCACAGTTCGACGTCTAAAGGAGATGCAGATGGTGTATCTCCCAGACCTGCTGTTCCTCATCGAAACCGAACAGAATGACGATTATGTTAGAGATGTGGGAGTTCAATTAGGTTATGATCATATGCAGATAGTTTCCCCACAAGGCTTAAGTGGAGGTTTAGTTGTGCTTTGGAAGAACTTTTTTTCAGTTTCTTGTATCTCTTTTGATTCCCGTCTTGTAGATCTTCAAGTTGATTATAAAGCTTTTCAATTCTACTTGTCTTGCGTTTATGGTCATCCAATACCAAGTCAAAGGAATCACTTATGGGAAAAGTTACAGAGAATAGCCACCACGAGACATGGACCTTGGATGATGTGTGGTGATTTCAATGAGATTCTAAGTAACGCAGAGAAGAGAGGAGGTCGCATTAGAGCAGAGAGTAGCTTTCGAAACTTTAGATTAATGCTGCAGGTTTGTGATATGCAGGATCTAAATTATAAAGATAATATGTTTAGTTGGGTTGGAAATACAAGAGATGGTATTGTGGAATGTTGCTTAGACAGAGTCATGGCGAATTCAGAATGGCGTCAAGCCTTCCCGGCTTCTGAAACAGAATTTCTCGAGATAGCAGAATCAGATCACAGGCCGTTGATAATATACATTGAGTATGAGGAGAGACGTAAACGAGGTCAGTTTCGTTATGATAAACGACTTGCTCAGGAGGAGGATTTTGTGGACACGGTGAAAAACTTTTGGCATCATAAATGTTCACATGTTCAGGACCTTCGTGTTCAACTGAGATTATGTCGAACAGAGATGGCTAAATGGAAAAGGCGAAACAGACTAAATCCAGCGGAGGACATACAGATTATCAGAGCCGAGCTGGACAGAGCAATCAGAGATCCAAGGGTAGCAGCTTGGCAAATAAGGAAGCTAAGGACGGATCTAAACAAGGCTTATTACAATGAGTAGGTTTTTTGGCATTTAAAAAGCAGAAACAAGTGGGTACAAGCTGGGGATCTTAACACGGCTTTCTTCCATGGAGTTACTAAATCGAGAAAACCTAAGACTTGTATTAAGAAGATGGTGGATGAACAAGGAATAGTTCATACTAAGGACGAAGCCATTGCAAGAGTTGCAGAGAACTACTTTCGTCAAATGTTTACAGCGTCAGATACACTTCCAATGAATGATATAATCCCTGGTTATGGAAACAAGAGTAACTGCTCAGAAGAATGCATCCCTTACGAGACCAGTTTCAGGCCAGGAGATTAAAGAAGCAGTCTACTCTATAGGTCCAGATAAAGCGCCGGGAATTGATGGATATACAGCTTCTTTCTATCGACAATTTTGGGAAGAGATTGGTCCAGATGTCACGTTATTGATAAACAAGTTCTTTGAAACAGGGGTGATGGAGCCTGGGATCAATCATACACAGCTTTTCTTAATACCAAAAACAACGGACGCAGAAAGAGTATCTGATGATAGACTAATCAGCCTCTACACGGTTAGTTATAAAATCATTTTTAAGATATTAGTAATGAGGTTGAAAGTGATTTTGGGAAATATCATCTCGGATTCACAGGCTGCGTTTGTACCAGGGAGGAATATCACTGACAACGTCTTGGTAGCTCATGAGCTCATGCATGCTTTAAAATCAAAGAAGGACTGTGCAGAACAGTACATTACCATCAAGACAGACATTAGCAAAGCATACGATCGTGTAGAATGGGATTTCTTGGAAGAAGTCATGAAGAAAATGGGATTTGATGACAAATGGATTGGTTGGATAATGGCTTGTGTGAGGTCAGTTTCTTTCTCAATATTTATTAATGGTTCAGACTATGGACATGTTCAACCATATCGAGGCATCAGACAGGTTGATCCACTATCACCATATCTTTTTCTTCTTTGTGCAGAGACATTATCACAAATGCTCTACCAAGCTGAGGTTAAAAAAGAGTTCAATCACTACAGGAAATATGACATTTGGTAGCGTCGGAAAAACGCTGTTTGACGATATTGTAGCGCTTTGTTAAATGCGTTATCATCGACCGTGATAATAGATTTTGCACTTTAGGTAGCGGAGTTTCGGTGTGCTATTATATCATTAAATATAATAGCGGACTTATATTTGCAATTAATGACTCTTTAATAGCGTCTTATATTAGTTATTTATATAATTTTGATAGCGATTGTAGACTGATATTTATATCGTTACTATAGCACTAATTATGTGTTATATATTATAAATATATAGCATTTGATAAGCGTCATTTTTATTAACAATCTGTAGTATTAGATTTCAAAATATTAGCTACAATATTTTGATACATATGATAATTTTAGCCACATTATGTTGAACAGAACTTATTAAAGAAGCTAACATTTGATTGCATTGTCACGAAGGTGATAAATGTCATACATAAAGGTTCTAAGTTTTTGATTAGAACTAAGAGAAAAATAGAAACTTTCAGCGAAATGGAAAATAAGTCATCAGAGCAATATGAGCTTGTCGTTAGGCCAAGCCACTGTTGTTCCTACTGCATCAGCAATGACTTCCACTTCCGAATTTGGTCTCCACACTTGTGCATCTTCAACTTTTGAAACCTCTACCCATATTTTGCTAGCATTAGGACCTAAAGGAAAGAAATGAACCTTATATGTTGGGTCAGTTGAAGAAATTCGGCCTTGTGCAACTCTTTCTCCGGATCCACTCACGTCTAACAGGATGCACTTCTGTTTGGTTCCTTTGCTATTGCTGGTACTAATACTTCCACTCTAGCATTCACAAATGAAAGCCGATAAATTTTCCAGAAATCATCACGACAATCACAAACTAATCTGATATGATTATGGCCAGCGCCAAGGTCAAGGAGTATGGACCTAAGCTTGAACCTGATGGAGTTAAGGACTTAGAGCTTGAACCAGTGGAGCAGCTTGAACGTGAGGGAAGTAAGCTTGTAGCTGAGGATGAGCTTGAACCGGAGCTTGTAGCTGAGGAAGCTTTAGCTGCACCAATGGAATTGGTTACTCATTCAGAGTTAATCTTGAGCTAAAATGGAGACAACCTGATCCTAAACCTCCCTGGTTTTTGATCCAAGCTCAAGAGATCAGCAAATGGGCATGTGTCTCATTTGTACTCTTTTTCCCTTGTCAAGTTTTGTCCCAATGGGTTTTCTTGACAAGGTTTTTAATGAGGCAAATGGGTCACATACAAATAACCTATTTAGCTGATCAAGACCTAAGGCCCATCAATAAAGAAGACTAAAAACGTGGCCATGAAGACCAAGGGTCTATTTGTGTTCAAACTTTGCTTTAATTATGTTTGCTTTTCCGAGATAGTCTTTGGAGCATGTTCCAAGACTAGACTCTTTATTTATCTCTTCTCTTTCCCCTTTATATGTGTGGACGAATCCCTTTGGTTATGCAACCTTGAATGAAAAACCTTTTTCCTTTGTTTACTCAAAGATCTCTTAGTGTGATTCTAAGAACCCTTTCTCTTGGTGTGTTGAATCCGAGAAATCCCTTTAGATTAGTTGTGAGTTGTATCAACTATTTTAGAGGTGGTGTTGGAGATTCCTTTCCATTGGATCTCTGGTATAGCCATTCAATCCATCCTCATCTATCACTTTCCATCGATCCATTCATCATTTCACCATCTCAATCCATTTCACCAAGTCCTTGATTCCATTCACTCCATCGCTACAATTCAACCTCTACTTGCTTCAAAGTGTCAATTCTCTACAAGGGATTTATCAAGTGGTATCAGAGCCACTTTGAAGCTAAGTAATTCTATCTCTAGTATTTCGATTTTTCATTTGTGCATCTTTGACAATTGTGACTGTTCATCTTCTGATCTAGATCTGGCCAGTTTCACTGTTTGCATAATTTTAAAATTGTTATCATAATTTATCCTGAACCATTTCACATAGATCTGTCCATCTACAAGTGTTTCCCTATTTTAGAAATTGTTTACATAATTTTTCTAAAATATTTTAGCATTTTCCCCTTGAACTTCTAACTGCCGAGTGTTTCTCTTGATTTTCAGGCACCATGGTGTCCGAGAAGGATGATGAAGAGGAATCAAGCAAGAGCCTCAACGAAACCATGCTGGAACAAATCAAGAAGATGATGATTGAGGAGTTTGATCGGAGGGAACATGTTAAAGAAGGAAAGCAGAAGCAACCTAAGGATCCGGTCACATCTAAGAAGAAACCAGTTGAGGATCTTAGTGGTTACATGATGATGATTCCGCCATTCCTTGGGAACAATGATCCAGATGTATATCTGGATTGGGAGAAGAAGTGCGAGATTACCTTCAACCGACATAACATAGCTGACATCAACCGAGTAAAACTAGCAGCTATGGAGCTCAAGTATTATGCTCTAAGTTGGTGGAAACAGGTTGAGACGGCCCGAGCTTACAGTGGAGCTTATGAGATCTCTACTTGGGGAGAAATGAAAAGGGTTATGAGGCAGCGGTTCGTTCCCATTCACTATCAGCGTGAGCTGCACTCTAAACTCAGGAAGCTCACTCAAGGATCCAAAACCGTTGAAGAATACTTCCAGGAGATGGAGGTTATGATGTTGAGGGCTAATGTCATTGAGGACAGGGAAGCCACTATGTCTCGGTTCCTTGGAGGGTTAAGCCGCGAGATCCAAGATGTGGTGGAGATGCAAAACTGTGTGGGCTTAGAAGCTATGCTCCACAAAGCCGTTCTTGCTGAACAACAGCTCAACAGGAAAGGTTCCTCACGTTTTGGTTCCAATTCGCTCAGCCAGGAGTATTCAAGAGATAGCAAGCCAGTCTTCACTCCTAAGCATGAACCAAGATCATCAACGAGTTATCAAGATAAGGGAAAGGGCAAGGCAGATGTGACTCCAACTACCAGTGCTCGTGAGGTCAAGTGTTTCAAGTGTCAAGGGTTTGGTCACTATGCTATTGAATGTACCAACCGCAGAGTAATGATCATAAGAGACAATGGCGAGATTGAATCCGAGGAAGAGCCTACGCCCAAGACTGTTCAGGACACAGAGGAGTATGAAGCAGTACCAGTTCGTGATGAAGTCTGTAGTCTGATCACTGATGGAGGCAGCTATACCAACGTGGCAAGTGAGACCATGGTCAAGAAACTTGGGCTTAGGTCTCAGAAGCATTCCAGTGCCAATGACCAAGAGCTAGGGCCTGAGCTTGAACCTAATCAAGAAGCTGAAGACCATGGAGAGCCAAAACCTAAGCAGCCAAACAAAACATTGAGCAATTTGTATCAAGGTACCAAAGGTGAATCTATTCAAACCCCTTCCTGTGATTTGCAAGAAATTGTTCAAGTCCCTAGCAATGATAAGGTACATGCTAGACTTCCTCAAATTGTTTATAATGATTCCATGAGTTTTATGATGCACTTGCTTTTCTCCAAAAGTGTTGAGACAGGTACAGGGTCTAGTGAAGAACAATGGAAGCAAGCAGATCAAGAAAAAGAATCTCAATCCGACCAGATTCCACCAGAATCTAAACCACCAGACCAACAACTACAAGGTTTAGGTGTGACAAGAAAAGAGACAAATGAGGAGGAGTTGCCAACTCAAGTTCCAAATCCAAAGTCAGCAGAAAGCACTTTTTCTTTGATAATGCCAAAGGAGATTAGATCAGAACCACACATTCAGCCTGACCCAGGTAAGTGTCTACAACCTTTTTCAATTAGTAAAACTCATGAGTTTTCTAATGTTGCAGGAAGAATAGGTTTGAATCTTAAGCTCTCCAACAAAAAGATCAGAAGTGAAATCACAATTTCTGTTGAGAAAGCTCCTAATGATGAGTTAGACCATGAGTTCAATCCAGAACCAAACAACAAGTGGAAGTCAAAAACAGAACAAGGATACAGTCAAGCCATGTCTACTGCTAAGCTAAGTGCAATCTTAAACCAACACATTCATCCTGTCTTTTTAACTGTCTTAATGCACTTGTCTTGGTTTAAAGAAGTTGAGAAAGGTACAGCTGAGCAAGAGAGACGCCTAGAAGCTCACAAAGCATTAACTTGTCATACCAAGGAGGAGTATGAGCAACATGTTCTTGAGCCAATTGCCGCAGCTGATTCACTAATGAGCGTTTTGCATAGTACACAGGTAAGTGAAGTTCAATACTTGATTTACTATTGGGATCATTTCATGATACATCAGAAACTTCAGAATTTTGTTTTTGAAATTCCCATTTCAAGTATAATGCACTTGTTCTTTTCCTTAAGTGTTAACAAAGGCAGGTTTGATGGAGAAGCATAAGGAACTTGGAAGAAGCAGCATCAAAGAACAACACATTCTCATCTCACGTTCATCTCATTCCTGTTCATTTATGGTTCTTTGTTTGAGTTCTCTATTCACTAAAGGCGAGGCAACTGATTGGAATCAAGAAGAGTGGCTAGCATGTTCCAATCCAATTCCAGAGAAACCACCAGACTCTTATCCGATATTCAAAGCAGCCATCCAAGGTAAGTATCTAGATTCCCAAAGGCGTATGAGACCTAACTTGCTTTCTTTTGGTGCAGGAAAAACAGTTTTGAGGACAAACTTTTTGAAGAGAGAGAGGATGATATGATTATGGCCAGCGCCAAGGTCAAGGAGCATGGACCTAAGCTTGAACCTGATGGAGTTAAGGACTTAAACTTGAACCAGTGGAGCAGCTTGAACGTGAGGGAAGAAAGCTAGTAGCTGAGGATGAGCTTGAACCGGAGCTTGTAGCTGAGGAAGCTTTAGCTGCACCAATGGAATTGGTTACTCATTCTGAGTTAATCTTGAGCTAAAATGGAGACAACCTGATCCTAAACCTCCCTGGTTTTTGATCCAAGCTCAAGAGATCAGCAAATGGGCATGTGTCTCATTTGTACTCTTTTTCCCTTGTCAAGTTTTGTCCCAATGGGTTTTCTTGACAAGGTTTTTAATGAGGCAAATGGGTCACATACAAATAACCCATTTAGCTGATCAAGACCAAGGCCCATCAATAAAGAAGACTAAAAACGTGGCCATGAAGACCAAGGGTCATATTTGTGTTCAAACTTTGCTTTAATTATGTTTGCTTTTCCGAGATAGTCTTTGGAGCATGTTCCAAGACTAGACTCTTTATTTATCTCTTCTCTTTCCCCTTTATATGTGTGGACGAATTTCCCTTTGGTTTTTATGCAACCTTGAATGAAAAACCTTTTTCCTTTGTTTACTCAAAGTTCTCTTAGTGTGATTCTAAGAACCCTTTCTCTTGGTGTGTTGAATCCGAGAAATCCCTTTAGATTAGTTGTGAGTTGTATCAACTATTTTAGAGGTGGTGTTGGAGATTCCTTTCCATTGGATCTCTGGTATAGCCATTCAATCCATCCTCATCTATCACTTTCCATCGATCCATTCATCATTTCACCATCTCAATCCATTTCACCAAGTCCTTGATTCCATTCACTCCATCGCTACAATTCAACCTCTACTTGCTTCAAAGTGTCGATTCTCTACAAGGGATTTATCAAGTGGTATCAGAGCCACTTTGAAGCTAAGTAATTCTATCTCTAGTATTTCGATTTTTCATTTGTGCATCTTTGAAAATTGTGACTGTTCATCTTCTGATCAAGATCTGGCCAGTTTCACGTGTTTGCATAATTTTAAAATTGTTATCATAATTTATCCTGAACCATTTCACATAGATCTGTCCATCTACAAGTGTTTCCCTATTTTAGAAATTGTTTACATAATTTTTCTAAAATATTTTAGCATTTTCCCCTTGAACTTCTAACTGCCGAGTGTTTCTCTTGATTTTCAGGCACCATGGTGTCCGAGAAGGATGATGAAGAGGAATCAAGCAAGAGCCTCAACGAAACCATGCTGGAACAAATCAAGAAGATGATGATTGAGGAGTTTGATCGGAGGGAACATGTTAAAGAAGGAAAGCAGAAGCAACCTAAGGATCCGGTCACATCTAAGAAGAAACCAGTTGAGGATCTTAGTGGTTACATGATGATGATTCCGCCATTCCTTGGGAACAATGATCCAGATGTATATCTGGATTGGGAGAAGAAGTGTGAGATTACCTTCAGATGTTACCGCTTGTGAATTCCTTGCTGTCTTCTCAGGAGATGTAGCAGGGTTGACTAATTGTACTTTATCAATTGGCCACGCGAGGTTTTCATTTAGCGCATCACTCAACACTGACATTTCTGCACTTGGTCTCCACAAAAATGCATTACCTCTTTCCACATGCACAACCTTCAAACTTGCAGCATTTGGACCTAGAGGTATATTGTTCACCAAATCTTTTGGATCCGTTGAACACAGAATCCCCTCACCAATTATCTCACCCTCCCAATTCCAATCAAAAATATGGACCCTTCCAGTTGATGCATTCGCAGCCTACAGAAATATGTAAACCTAACATATTAATCAATCTACTAACTGATGTACACAGTTCTGTATATATTTAGATTGAGACATTACCGAGGATCCATCAGTTTTTGGTCCAGAAGAGTTTCGTATTGTCCAAAATCACCTTCTCAGCTGGCCAAGCAATCTTGAGTCCGATGGTGTCTCCGAGTATTAGTATGGTTGGTGTGGGCCTCCAAACATATGCTTCGGGTTTTGCTACAGACTTGACTATAACAGCTGCTGCATTAGGCCCAAGTGGGATACGACCAATCTTGTACATATGTTCAGTAGAGCATAATTCTCCTTCCCCAACCACAATATCATCAGACGAACACCAGTCTAATAACTGACACCTGATTCCTTCTTTGTTACCATCGGGTACATCAGAAGCAGAAACATCATCACTGCCTCGCTGCCAAGTTTTGTGGAATACAATGATATGTGTTATCATAATGAACTTCCAATTTCTCATAATCGGAAAAACAAGGATATGTGAGTTACAACATACCTTTTTGCCGGCTAAGTCGTGCACTACAATTTGCAAGTCTTCAATCTTGCTTAGCAACTCGGCTTGCGTTGCTTCAAGCTTCTAGACATGAGAGTCTCTTGCTTGTAAGAATGCTAGTTTAGTAAACGTAAACCCTCTGCCCATCCCTCTCAACTTTCCAGGTCTGTCTTTTCCTAGTACTTGACTCACGGCATCTTCTATGAAATTAGTAGTTGCTGTGGACTCCATTTCACTATCAATTGATTTTACTTTTTCCTGAAAAAACATACGAGACACAGAAGGCACTAAGAATAAGACATATAAAGTACACTTAACCACCTAGAAATACTGTAACATCTCTTACAATTGTTTCAGCGAATTCTTCCCTCACTGGTTTTCCGTCAGCATGTGTATGTCCTCCTACCCACACCTTACTTCTTCTTCTGAAAATAAACAACGCTTAAAACCAAGATAATTTGGTGTACATATATATTGCTAAATGACAAACATATTACAATTCCATCTGACACATACCATCTCATGAGCAAGGCGAACCATTCCCTTGCGACTGGTTGTGTGAGGAATCTGCCTCTTTCTCAATTGCCTATACTTCTCACTTTGTATCTACCCAATCAAACCCAAATTTAACTACGAACTCATCAAACACGACAACAAATGAACTGAACTGAGAAGAAGGTTTCCGAGAGGATTACCTTGAAGGCGGTACTATTTCTGAACCTAACCCAACTGTTCCAAGCTGCTGTAGACTGAATGTTGTTAGGTTTTAGCTTTTGTAGCTGCACCTTAGATTTGGTATTCTGAACTAGTTTGGTTAATCTAGATTTCGAGGTCCTCCACAAACGACCCATCTGTTTAAAAACATATTCCTTTTGCCAACCTTCTGTCAAGTTAAACCTCCCCTGTACAAACACAACCAAATTAGACACATAAACAATGAATATCAAATTTAATATGGGAATATTCATCACCTGAATTTCCTCCCAGAGTGTGTCTTTGGTCTCTTCACTAAGCTCTCTCCAGTCTTTAAGTAGTTCTGGTACATGCTCCCTTACAAGAGGTCCGATAAATGAAGAAAGAGTTACTGACCCACCTCCCACATGTTCACCAATTTCTGTGAATTCAACTTCCACCTTGTCATCATGGTGTTTGGCGACTTTACGCATCCTAGTAGGTCCTCTAGTCTTCCTTTTCTTTGTCTCTAACTGCTGAGTCTGAGCTTTTGATGTTGGATGAGGCACGGTTTCCTGTTCCTGACCATGCGATGATTCTGGTTGTTCTACATCTTCATCTTCCAAAGCTTCATCATATTCTTCTTCTTCAAATGTATTGTTGCCTTCTTCTGACTCCTGCTCCTCGATTTGATCTTCTTCATGGCAAGTATTATTCCCAGTTTCAGATACTTTCTCGCTGATATTGCCATCCTCTGTCTGAGTAGTCTGCCTGTCCTTTTTTTTGGTTTTAGCTAACACAGGCGTGACCTCCATGCCTGCTTGACGCTTACTAAAACGGGTTCCAGTTTTACCCATCATTGTTCACCTGAAACATACATAACCAATTTTATTAGAACCAAAAGAAACTTAATCCATTACTAAGACTCCTTCACAATCATCTCTAGCACATAAACTCTCATCATCATCTGACTGATTCTCTTCATCCTCAAATTCCTGAACTGATAATGGGGCAGATATGAATTATTCTTCTGTCTCTAGCTCGTGATAACCTCTTGGTGGCGCCCTCATAACTACGTACCAAGGAGAGGTGTCATCCTCTCTTGAGTAGAAAACTTGTTTAGCTTGTGATGCAAGGATATATGGATCTTGGAGAAACGCTGACTGGTTCATATGTAGGTTAACTAAAGTAAATCCCTCCTCCTCTTTCACTCCATTCCCTTTGTTGGCCCAAACACATCTAAATAGAGGAACCTGGAACATGTGGTAGTCTAACAGTATGATCTCCTTCACAACTCCATAGAAAGTTACTATATCTGCGGTGTGTCTAGAATCTCGAGCACTAGACCTACACATGGAGAATGCTTCATATGTTACCCCACTGTTCTGAGTCTTCCGCTTGACATCGTCTATATGGAACCGATGTCCATTGATAATGTAACCCTTATAGGTCTGTGCAATATGTCTTGGTCCAAAACCAAGCCATCTCAGCCTCGTTGAATGATCCTTTGAATTAGTGGGTATCTGACATGAAAATGATGCATATTCATTAGTACAAATACAAGAAATTAGTCAGTAACCACAACTGCATTAGTATCTGTGTACTTGTTACCTTGTCTCTTATCCACTTTGCAAATTTTTCGTTGTGATATTTCCACAAAACAGTTTCATTTTTAGCACATTTAGCGTCTGTATTCTGAAGTTCTTCCAAATGGAGACTGATTGAAGATACATTTAGAGTATGTACACGAACACATAGTAGTTGTAAGAGGCAGAGTAGAGGTACTTACTGATGTACTTGCATTTTACATAGTTTTAGCACATCTTTTATGCATCTTTTGCATAGTTTTAGCTTTCATTTGCATCATATCTTGTTCCTTTTCTCTTCTTATGCATTCATGTTAGTTTTAGGTTGCATTTGCATACATATGCATGTTTGGTCCTTTGAAATAGGTCTTTTGGAGCATTCTGGAGCATATGGGACACAAGGAGCATGGAGGGACTTGGCACATGGAAGCAGCTCAACTGGATACGCAAAGGAAGAAGGGAGAAGCCATCTTGAAGACCAGCTCGACCGTCCACTCGACCAACCGGTCGAGTTCCTCAACTCGACCGGCCAAGCTTCAACTCGATCGAGCTGGAAGTCAAAGTCAAACCCGAAAAATGTTGCTTCCCCCTTGACTTCCCTTTGACCCTAAACCTAATCCTCTTTGTATTTAAAGGCTCTAGCCACGAAAAAACCACCAAGCTTTAGATTATTTTGTTTTAGTTTCTTTTAATTTATTGTCTTTTACTTTTTAGAGATCTAATCCCATCTTTGTGTTCTTGAAGCTCTTGCTTCTTGAATCTTAGATCCTGGATAATCTCTCTTGTATTTGCACTTGCTTATTTCAATAAAAGTTGTTTAATTTCATCTCCTCTTTCTTATGATGTCTCTTTTATTGCATTTGCTTGTGTTTACATTCATGTGTAGTGAGTAGTTACCCATTGGGGTTTGAGATGGGATAGATTAGAGGTTTCATATGCTTAATCCTTCTAGCTTATGGTCTTAATCTAGATTCTCTCTCTTTTGGATAGATCTTAAGGCTACATGACCACTACCCCTGGCTTGTAAGTCCTTAGGCGACTCCCCACACGAAAGTGATGGCATTCGCTGGAAAAGATCCACTAAGAGCTCCAATATCTCTTGCTCTAGACAATAGAGGTCTAAGGGGTTGGATGGATTAGTTTGGGCAATGATCCTATAGCCTCCAAGGTTTGATTCTCACTGGCTAACCCCCTGTTTCTGAGATCATTCCTTGGTTGATAGCCTCCACCTTGGGAAAGGGTTGGCTAGGCATTGAGAAGCCCAATATCAAGAGAAGCCTTGATACAAGGAGTTTTAAGAGCTAGATTGATTAAGTGTAGATTCCTTTGATTGCAAAACCCTGTCTTGAACCCTAATTCTCTCTTTATCTTGTTAAAGTCGTCACCTTTAGCTTTGTTTGTCTCAACTCGTCCCTAAACTCGATCGAGCTGGTACTTTGCTCTACTCGACTCGAGCTCTTGGTCGAGCTGACACTTCACTGCTTTGTTTACTTTTATTGCACTGCTTTTCATTTTTTTAGGTTGTTAGTGTTACTTCAAATCTATAACTGCTTGCTTGACTTTCGGTTGTTTCATATTCTCAAAGAGTGACAAGTTCCCATTTTGGATTGATAACCTCTTATACTTCAATGACTATGATGGTTAAGAGGAATTGATTGATTGTGATTGCACCATACCATATCATCTTTATTCACCCCTGTTTGCATTCCACCTCATTTCATTCACACACACACAAATCCTATCATCAATTTGGCGCCGTTGCCGATTTGGGAATATTTTTGTTGCATTTGAGTTTCAAACACACTTGGACGATCAAGCTATACCACCCCTGTTCTATTGTACTGCTGGGTTTTTGTCTCTTTTTGCAGGTGTATGCGAACTCGATCGAGTCGGTCAACTGAGACTTGGTCGAGCTAGACTTTACAACGGGTAGAAAGAGGGTTCAGAGGTCACAGAGGGTACAAGGGGAATGGAAACCCTTTGGGCAATGGACTCGGTCGAGCTAGGCAAACTCGACCGATTGGTCAAGGAGATGCTCCAAACCGCCACCAACAGAGACAAGGGATTGTTCCACCACCAGTGCAGAACCACAACTTTGAGATCAAGCTGGGAATGATCAACCTTGTCCAGAACAAGATGTTCCATGGATTGCCAAGTGAAGACCCCATTGACCACCTTGATGAGTTTGATAGGCTTTGTGATTTGACAAAGATCAATGGTGTCTCTGAAGATGCCATCAAGCTGAGACTCTTTCCTATGTCTCTAGCTGACAAAGCTCACCAATGGGAGAAGAGCTTGCCCCATGGCACAATCACCACTTGGGATGAATGCAAGAAGGCCTTTCTTGCTAAGTTTTTCTCCACCGGTCGCACAGCCAAGCTTAGAGGAGAGATATCCAGCTTCATCCAGCGAAACAATGAGACATTCGCAGAGGCTTGGGAGAGGTTCAAAGGCTACACAAGTCAGTGCCCACACCATGGATTCAACAATGAATCCTACTCTCCACTCTTTATAGAGGATGCTTGCCTAGGTATAGGGAGATGCTAGACACAGCTAGCAATGGGAACTTCCTCAACCAGGATGTAGATGATGGCTGGCAACTTGTGGAGAACATAGCTAACTCAAATGGAAGCTATGGAGAAGAGTATGATCGCACCAACCGGAGCTCGACCCACCACTCGATCGAGTCAGACGAAAAGTTGAGAAAAGATGTTAAGGCATTGAATGAGAAGTTGGATAAGCTGATCCTAGCTCAGTCCACAATGAAGAAAGTCAACTTTGTGTCTGCTGAGGAGATGGAACCAGTCCAAGAAGGGGAGGATACACAATTTGCTGAGGTGTGCTACATGAGCAATGGGCAAGGAGGTTACAACAAAGGATACTATAATACAAGTCCAACCCTGCCATGTCATACCGCAACACTGATGTTGCTAACCCTCAGGACCAAGTATATCCTCAACAACAAGCAGCTCGATCGAGTCAGGTGCCACAACATGGGTATGGTCAAAAGAACAATTACCAAGGACCACAAGGCACTTTCCCTGGACAACAAATGAATATCCCACCAGGCTTCCCCCACCAACCGCCCCAGCCTGCACCTTCACAAGAGAATGAGCTCAAGGCAATGCTAAAGCAACTACTTCAAGGGCAAGCTGATGGGGTAGTGGACACAAGCAAGAAGCTAGCTGAAATAAACTCTAAGATCGAGAACCTCAACACAAGGGTTTACTCTCTGGAGAATCATGCTTCTTCTGTTGCTGCTGCTACAAAGCAAGGACAACTACCTGGTAAAGCTATTCAGAACCCCAAGGAACAGTGCAAGGTCATCTTCACTCAAGAAGGACTTGTTGAAGAAGAGGATCAAGAAAGGGTCATTGAAGATTTTTGTTTACTGCTGAATGATGAAGAGATTGTTGCTGCTGAGGCTCCTGGAGTCCAGATTGATCAACCAGAAGTGCATGCACCTACTGTGGCCATTCACACTTCACCAGTTGAGCTCGCACGACAAGCTCGATCGGCAGCTCGATCGAGTCCAACTCTAGCTCGATCGAGTCCGACCTCTTCTGTCCGACAGCCTGTTTTGCTTGATCCTTACAACCGGTTGCCGCTTCCTCGTCTCGCCTACTTAGTCAAGGTCACAAGGAAGTGATTCACAAGTTCAGAAGAGATCTCAGTGGGATTGGAATTGAGTTGCCTCTATGGATAGCATGAGTGAGGCATTTGATCAAATGCAAATGGTCAAGGATGTTCTAGCCAACAGTGATAAAGTTTCAGAGGTCCTACAAGAGTCTACTCATCAGTTCAACCTGCTTACTTCACCCACCTTCCTACCAAAGGTCAAGGATCAAGGGAAATTCACTCTCCCTTGCACACTTGGGCATCTTGAGATTGACAATGCCTTAGTGGATTCTGGAGCAAGCATCAATCTGATCTCTCTCTCCATGGCAGAGAAGCTAGGCATAGCTGGAGCCTTGCAGCGCCCTACTACTTCAATCATGTTTGGAGATGCAACTTCTAAGTCTCCTCTTGGAGTGTTCAAGAACTATCACTTGAAAATTGGAGAATGCATCATCCAAACTGATCTCACTGTGATGGAAATGGAAGAAGAGAAGGATTTGCCTCTGTTATTGGGAACCCCTTTCCTTAGTACAGTTGGCGCTTCAATTGACTTTCACAAGCAAGAAGTGATCCTTCACAAGGTGAATAGTTTGGTGTCATATCGCTTGCAGCCTAGAGGTTCAGACTTTTGTGCCACAATTGACAGTACCAATCTCAGTTCTAAGAGTCATGGAGCTACAAAGGTTGTGAAGGAAAGGGTTGACAAGGAACCAAGAGTTGGGAAGGATAAGGATGAGAGAGGACCAAGGATTGAGAAGCCACGTCTTGAGAGGGCTAGAGTTGAGAAACCACGATCTGATAGGCCAAGAGCTGAGAGACTTGTTCAAGCCCCTTGTGTGCTTGATGAAGAGAGCCTTCAAGCTTTGTTTGATGAGCCACTAGGAAGGGCTCTAAAAGAAGGGGAGGATGTAGCCTCTAAGGCAAGACCAGGTATAAAAGAAAGGATCCACCAGCTCAGGCCCCTTCAGTCAAGCCATCTCAGCTCACAATGACTTTGTTCCCCACCAAGTTTGAAAATGGGAAGATTGAGTACAAGATAAGGTACAAGGGGAGATCAAGGCCATTCTCTAGAGCCAAGGCCTTGGTGACTTCAGAACAGTCCAGGGACCCAACCAAGCTAAAGGAGCTTCTGTCTCAAGTCCTCACTATCACCCTTGATGGTGGGACTAGCTCAACCAATGCCTAAGAAGGTAAAGGTCAAGCTATGGGACCTTAAACAAGCTCACTTGGGAGGAAGTCCCATGTTTATCCTTGTACATACTCTATTTATGCAATTTCTATCTATCTTTATGTTTTTAACCTTTCAATAAGTTAAGTTTAGGTGTCAAGGAGCCAGCTCGACCCACAGCTCGATCGAGCTAGAAACCAGGGCAACTCGATCGAGCTACAACTCGACCGAGGTAAGTTTTTGAATTTCAAATTCATAACCGTTTTCTTGGTCAAGGGAGTGGGTCCCACAAGCTGATTTTGGTCCCCCACTACCCTAATTTGATCAGAGAATCCCTAGCTTCTTGTCCCCTTTATTTCACTTTTAATCTCAACCACACATCTCAAACACCCCTCTTCCCCATAACTCGATCGAATCCACCTTCTCCTCTCCCACACTTAAAATTTCTGAAACCATCTCTCTCTCTCACCACAAGAAATTTCGAATTTCAACCTTTCTCTCTTAAGTTTTTGCGATTTCTCTTGTTCTTCATTGTTTTGCTTGGGTTTTGTTTACTGCTCTTCAATTCCATCATTCAACAAGGTATGAACCCTAAACCCTGATTCTTCCATCTCGATTTCCATTATTGCTTGTTTCCTCTTTGATTTTTGATTGCATGTGTCCCTTGTGGACTTGTCTTGAGTAATTGCTTTATATTTTCGCCTCATATTGTTAACTTGTTAATTTGCCTCACCTCACCTCTGTTTTGCCTTTAAAACTTGTTGCATGTGCTTGAAAATTGAATTTGAGTTTGGTATTGGTTAAGATGCTTAGTGCTTCACTAGAATTGCTCATTGTTCCATTTACTAGTTGTTCTTGGTTCAATTTGATTGATTAGCATCCTTTCCAGCTCTTAATACTTGAATTAGGTTTGGTTATACTCTGTTTTCACCCAGTGATGTACTTGCATTTTACATAGTTTTAGCACATCTTTTATGCATCTTTTGCATAGTTTTAGCTTTCCATTTGCATCATATCTTGTTCCTTTTCTCTTCTTATGCATTCATGTTAGTTTTAGGTTGCATTTGCATACATATGCATGTTTGGTCCTTTGAAATAGGTCTTTTGGAGCATTCTGGAGCATATGGGACACAAGGAGCATGGAGGGACTTGGCACATGGAAGCAGCTCAACTGGATACGCAAAGGAAGAAGGGAGAAGCCATCTTGAAGACCAGCTCGACCGTCCACTCGACCGGCCAAGCTTCAACTCGATCGAGCTGGAAGTCAAAGTCAAACCCGAAAAATGTTGCTTCCCCCTTGACTTCCTTTGACCCTAAACCTAATCCTCTTTGTATTTAAAGGCTCTAGCCACGAAAAAACCACCAAGCTTTAGATTATTTTGTTTTAGTTTCTTTTAATTTTTGTCTTTTACTTTTTAGAGATCTAATCCCATCTTTGTGTTCTTGAAGCTCTTGCTTCTTGAATCTTAGATCCTGGATTAATCTCTCTTGTATTTGCACTTGCTTATTTCAATAAAAGTTGTTTAATTTCATCTCCTCTTTCTTATGATGTCTCTTTTATTGCATTTGCTTGTGTTTACATTCATGTGTAGTGAGTAGTTACCCATTGGGTTTGAGATGGGATAGATTAGAGGTTTCATATGCTTAATCCTTCTAGCTTATGGTCTTAATCTAGATTCTCTCTCTTTTGGATAGATCTTAAGGCTACATGACCACTACCCCTGGCTTGTAAGTCCTTAGGCGACTCCCCACACGAAAGTGATGGCATTCGCTGGAAAAGATCCACTAAGAGCTCCAATATCTCTTGCTCTAGACAATAGAGGTCTAAGGGGTTGGATGGATTAGTTTGGGCAATGATCCTATAGCCTCCAAGGTTTGATTCTCACTGGCTAACCCCCTGTTTCTGAGATCATTCCTTGGTTGATAGCCTTCACCTTGGGAAAGGGTTGGTAGGCATTGAGAAGCCCAATATCAAGAGAAGCCTTGATACAAGGAGTTTTAAGAGCTAGATTGATTAAGTGTAGATTCCTTTGATTGCAAAACCCTGTCTTGAACCCTAATCTCTCTTTATCTTGTTAAAGTCGTCACCTTTAGCTTTGTTTGTCTCAACTCGTCCCTAAACTCGATCGAGCTGGTACTTTGTCTACTCGACTCGAGCTCTTGGTCGAGCTGACACTTCACTGCTTTTTCTTTTATTGCACTGCTTTTCATTTATTTAGGTTGTTAGTGTTACTTCAAATCTATTACTGCTTGCTTGACTTTCTGGTTGTTTCATATTCTCATAGAGTGACAAGTTTCCCATTTTGGATTGATAACCCTTTGTACTACATCAACTATCATGGTTAAAGGGAATTGTTGACTGTGTTTGTGTTTGCATCTTACCACCATCATATACCACTGATTGCATTCCACTCATCTCATTTCATATCTTTTCACATCCACACACAAATCCTATCATCAATTTGGCGCCGTTGCCGATTTGGGAATATTTTTGTTGCATTTGAGTTTCAAACACACTTGGACGATCAAGCTATACCACCCCTGTTCTATTGTACTGCTGGGTTTTTGTCTCTTTTTGCAGGTGTATGCGAACTCGATCGAGTCGGTCTAACTGAAGACTTGGTCGAGCTAGACTTACAACGGGTAGAAAGAGGGTTCAGAGGTCACAGAGGGTACAAGAGGAACCTGAGGTGCTTGTTGCTGATACAATGGATGTACCAGAGGGGAATGGAAACCCTTTGGGAATGGACTCGGTCGAGCTAGGCAAACTCGACCGATTGGTCAAGGAGATGCTCCAAACCGCCACCAACAGAGACAAGGGATTGTTCCACCACCAGTGCAGAACCACAACTTTGAGATCAAGCTGGGAATGATCAACCTTGTCCAGAACAAGATGTTCCATGGATTGCCAAGTGAAGACCCCATTGACCACCTTGATGAGTTTGATAGGCTTTGTGATTTGACAAAGATCAATGGTGTCTCTGAAGATGCCATCAAGCTGAGACTCTTTCCTATGTCTCTAGCTGACAAAGCTCACCAATGGGAGAAGAGCTTGCCCCATGGCACAATCACCACTTGGGATGAATGCAAGAAGGCCTTTCTTGCTAAGTTTTTCTCCACCGGTCGCACAGCCAAGCTTAGAGGAGAGATATCCAGCTTCATCCAGCGAAACAATGAGACATTCGCAGAGGCTTGGGAGAGGTTCAAAGGCTACACAAGTCAGTGCCCACACCATGGATTCAACAATGAATCACTACTCTCCACTCTTTATAGAGGATGCTTGCCTAGGTATAGGGAGATGCTAGACACAGCTAGCAATGGGAACTTCCTCAACCAGATGTAGATGATGGCTGGCAACTTGTGGAGAACATGGCCATATCAACAGAATGCTATGGAGAGCACTATGAAAGTACAGACTGGAGCTCGACCGCGCACTCGATCGAGCTGGACGCTCAGATGAGAAAAGACATGCTTGCACTCAACTCGAAGTTGGACAAACTGATCCTAGCCCAATTCCCTGCCAAGCATGTCAACTATGTCTCAGAACAAACCTTAGTCAAGGACCAGGAAGGGGAGGAGACAACACAAGAAGTTTGCTACATTCAAAATAGACAAGGAAGCTATAGGAATCCTCAACAAGGGCATACAACAATTATCAAGCCCCCTGGCCGCACCAACAACAAAGTGTTCCACAAGGTTTCAACACAAGGACTACTCATACCCAACCAACTCAAGATTGGGATATGAAGGAAATGCTCCAACAACTTTTACAAGGGCAAGCCAAAGGTTCTCTGGAAATGAACAACAAGCTGGTTGAGATACACTCTAAACTAGAGTCATTGACTTCAAGAGTCCAAATCATTGAGTCTTCAAGTGCATCATCCTCTTCACCACAAGAGTATGCCCAAGCAGTTACACTAAGAAGTGGGAGGCAATTCCCTAGTAGAGGTAGCCCACCCCAAATCGCTGTGGACATCGATGACGAGGAAGGGGAGGATTTAGTCGACTATGCTGATAACTCGACCCGAACTCGATCGAGCTGGAACAAAACCCTGAACCAGAACTCGATCGAGCTGGAGAAACTGAGACACTGCAAGACAAACCAGAGCTCGATCGAGCCAGAAGAGAGCAGACAAAGCAAACTCCAGCCAACCAGCTAAACCTGTTGCAAAGAAGAAAGACACTCCAGCAGGACCACCACCATACAAGCCCCCTCTGCCCTTTCCAGGAAGGTTCAAGAAACAACTGTTGGAAGCACACAAGGCCAAGTTTGATGAACTAATGAGACAGCTTGAGCTGAAGTTGCCCTTCATCGACGCCTTGATGCTCATTCCGCCTTATCAGAAATTTCTGAAGGATGCTGTTCAGCAAAGAACCAGGGAAGCACAAGGGATGGTAGTGTTGACCGCGAGTGCAGTGCAATCATTCAGCGGAAGGTCATCTCCGACAAAAAGGAAGATCCGGGGAGTTTCACTTTGCCCTGCATGTTAGGACCCCTATCTTTCAAAAACAGTCTCTGCGATCTAGGATCATCTGTCAGCCTCATGCCTTTGTCTGTAGCGAAGAGACTGGGATATCACAAGTACCAAGCCTGCGGAATCTCACTAGTCTTGGCAGATAGATCGATAAGGTTACCAACTGGGATGCTTGAAGACCTGCCTTTGAGGATAGGGAATGTGGAAATCCCCACAGACTTCATTGTGCTTGAGATGGATGAGGAACCAACAGATCCATTGATTCTAGGAAGGCCATTCCTAGCTACAGCAAGAGCAATGATAGATGTCTGTGAAGGAACAATTGAGTTAAACTTGGGAAAGGACCTGAAGATGAAGTTTGATATCAAGATACAATGAGGAAACCAACTATAGAAGGTCAGCTCTTTTATGTTGAGGAAATGGATCAGTTGGCAGATGAGCTTCTAGAAGAGTTATCAACAGAGGATCCACTACAAGTTGCTTTGACCAAGGATTCTTCAGAGGGATATGTGAGCTCAGAAACTGATGAGTACAAGAAGCTCCTTGACACCTTCAGACCAGTTCCAAACATTCTGAGCATTGAGGGATTGGACAGGCCAGTTTGCGAAGTCATGGCAGTGAGCTCGATCAAGAACTCGATCGAGTCGAGTTTCGAACAAACGAACTCGATCGAGCTGGGGCTGAATGCAAGGAGCAAGCTCAAGGAGATTGGTCTGAGCTCAAGGCGCCTAAAGTCGACCTCAAACCTTTGCCTGAGGGCCTCAGGTATGCATTTCTGGGTGAAAACTCAACTTACCCTGTCATTGTGAACTCTGATTTGGAACCTGAACAGTTGAGTGCTTTGCTTGTTGAATTGAGAAAGTACAGAAAGGCAATAGGTTACACTCTAGATGATATCAAGGGGATCTCCCCTGACCTATGCATCCATAGGATTCATCTAGAGGATGAAAGTAAGTCAAGCATTGAACCTCAGAGAAGATTGAACCCCAATCTAAAGGAAGTAGTGAAGAAAGAGATACTCAAGTTGCTTGATGCTGGGATAATCTATCCCATCAGTGATAGCACTTGGATATCTCCAGTTCATTGCGTCCCAAAGAAAGGGGGGATCACTGTCATTAAAAACGACAAAGAGGAGCTGATTCCCACTAGAACAATAGTGGGGCATCGCATGTGTATTGACTATAGGAAGCTAAATTCAGCATCTAGAAAGGATCATTTCCCTCT